TCGGGGTCACCTGGTCGCAGAGTCCGGGATCCCCGGCGAAGGTCCTGGGGGTGGGGGCGCAGGGTCGCGGGTTCGGGGCCCGCAGCTCGAGGACCCTCAAGAAGCCAGCTTCAGAGTGATGTCCTGTCCCACCGCCCTTCCGGCGGGACGCGACCCAGTTTCACTTTGCAGACCGCTTGCTGCACGAACCCCGTCCCTGCCTTAGACTCCACGTGCAGTCAGGGCTGCTAAGCTGTTGCCCCACGAAAGGAAACAGGGCTTCGGAATGGAGGAGAGTAGCCCTGGGAGATTCTCCCTTGTGGCCGCCGGTGTTCAGCCCCGCCGGCTGTCTCGGATCTATGCCCTTCCCTGCAAGGCCGCAGGTGACTCACTGTCCTTCCGCTGCCTCCTGCCTCGCAGTGCGAGCGCCCTGCACGCTGCGAGGACACCGTCAGCCGAGGTCAGGGGCAACTCCCTGTCCCTCTGTCCTTCCCTCCACCCTCCACGCCCGTCCTCTCCGGCCTCTTTCCCCCTTGCTGGTGACCTCGGCTTAGCGAGGCCATGGCCCGGGTTCGTTTGCTGTACCTTCTCCGGGACTCCTTTAGAATAGAAGGAATGTATTGCACCCAGGCCGGGCAGCCAGCGGCCTTTGTCTGTCTGTCCTGCCTTTCAGGTTGTCCACTTTGTGTGGAGCCTGCATCTGGCCCAGGCCTCCCCACTTCTCAGCCAATGTTCCCTACGACCGCAGGGGTTGTGACACTGCTGGGCTTTGTCTGGTTTCATCTGAAAAGGATCCGTTCAGTTTTTTCCTATGCATTGGCTTTTCATCACCGTACACATTCATTATGTTTACTGGCTAAAATTGATGCCAGTTCATTGTGAAAAACAAAACCGGAAACCAGCTATGTAACTGAAAGGGAACCTTCCAGGTTTTCCTGCTCTATAAGGACAAATGCTGACATTTATTGTCCCTTCCTTCTCCTCCTCCTCCTGCCTCACACAGAGCCATCCCCAAAGCCCTGTGCTTATGACACTACGGAGGCAGGTAAATGGCCTATCTGATCTTAACTTAATGGGTTAAGACTCAGAAAAAAAGCCCGTTTGGCTTAGTAAGCAGGGTCTAGCACAGAGAGGGCAAGCTTGGAGCTCTGGAGTGCTAAGGTCAAGGTTTACCCACCGAGGCAGTGGCCGAGCTTTGGGAAGTGACCTAGGAACATCTCAGGGCCTGGCCTGGCCTCCCCTCAGTGTCCCAGAGCTGCTGTCCCCTTGACCACACTTCCAAGCCAGTGCCCTGCGGCTGCAGGACTTGGTCCCTGGTTGCTTCCCTTGAGAGGGTCCTCTGCAGTCTTAGCCCTGGATGCTTATAACTGCTGCTTCTCTGGCCCTCTAATCCCTCAGCTCTGTTCGCTGTCACCCAGCAAGGGCATGTGGCTGAGGTGCTGGGAAACTGGTGCCACCAGGGTTTGCTGAAGACACTGAGAGGAGCCCAGGACCTGCGAGCTCAGGTTGGCCTCAGGGGGTGCCAGGAGCTTAGAGAAGGGACGGGAGCTGCCTGTTGGTTGGACGACGAGGGACGTGCAGGGGCTGATGGGCGTGTGGCTGGAAGACCTGATTTCTTCTGCTCTTGAAAACCCAGCTCCAGATCCTGGGTTGTTAGTGATAGCCCCAGGGGTGCCTTCCCCATTCCCTGCTTTCCCGGAGGAGCCGCTTTCCCTTCTGACTCAGCCTGCTTTGTGCTGGCTCCCACATTCCATTTCCCCCTCAGGGTGACTCCTTCAGGCACCGTGTGCTGGAGTCGTAGTGGAATTCTCAGCACACCTCTGGAAGAGACCTGGGAGAGGTGTATCAGGCAGAGATGTGGGAAGGAAGCCCACATGCAGAGAAATAGAGTGCAGGCCGGACAGAGAGGGAGACAGAGAGATTGAGACTTCTACTGGGAACTGGGAAGGTTCAAGCTCGGGGCTGTGGGTATCTGCAGAATTTGCCAGTCTGTAGTTTGCTGAATGGGGAACATTCGGAAGGGAAGCTTACTGTACCGGTGAGAAGTCCATTTTCAAATAAAAGGGAAAGGTGGAACTGATTTGCAGGTGAAAGCATATGCCCAGGCTGATTGTGTTTTGGGAGAAAAGACAGCCTGCAGCTGCAGTTTTCCTTTTGAATGATTTCCCTTCTTTTGATCTCTTTTTCCTCCACCCCTCCTTCAGGGATGAAGGACCGAAGCCTCTGGGACACTTGCCCAGTCTCTGTCCTTGGGCTGCATCGGCCTGGCGTGCACTCCAGGCTCACTGGGCTTGCTCTGCACTAGAACCCAGGCCCGACTGGGTCCCTCCCAGCTTCTCTGTGTAAAATCCTCCACTGTGGGAGAAGAGACTTCCTGTAGCCCGTAAGGTCTACAGTAAATAAAGCCACAGTTTAAACCAGGGAAAGACAATCCAACTTTGTTTGCTTTTTGAGACAGAGTCTCCCCTGCGTTGTGATTCAGGCCGGGCACTTTCACAGGTCCTCCAAAGGCATTTGCATTTCTTAAACTGCAAAAGGAGAAAGCACAGCACGGGGAGAAGTGCCGGGAGGTGCTGCCAGCTGCTGACCTTGTTTACCAGATCCATGGCACCCTGACTGACACACCAGCTACCTATCTTAGCCAGCAGGCAGACGCATTGGCCTGGTCATTCTGATTCAGGGGGAAGAGATGCAACTTCCAAACCTGCTAGGGACCTGAAACGTGAGTTCATACTCTCTAAAATTGAAGGATGAATTCCAGGAACAATGAAGGTTTAGTAAGAGTAGGAAACATTTATTGAGGGAATGACATCTTCTGTCTAAGAGAGACAGAAGGGGGACTGGAACGTGGGCTGTCCGTCCACTCCACTTCTCCAAGATGCTTTTCACACCCAAGCCATGTGCGGAGGTGGATACAAAGTGGGACAGAGCTATAAGACCCAGCAGAAAATTACAAGGTGGGCACAAGGTGGGGCAAAACCATGACCAACCAATAAGATGACAAGTACAGTCACCCAAGTAATATTGATAAAGTGGGGGAGCAAGTCACTTAGCAAGGGTGTACAAGGATTTTCAGTAAGGGTGGGGGTCAGGGATATTTCCTGGAAAGGCTGGGTTAAGACCTTGGCCCCCCCCCCAGCTGATTAAAACCTATTTAGAATGTCAATTACAGCTATTTATCCCCAGGAGTAGCACAAGGCTGTAGCAGTTTCTCTCCTTTTACAATTCTGGCCACAGTGAATGTGTCTTGATTGTCCTCCTTGTTGGCTCCTTGAGGACAACCCCATCTGATTGCCTACAAGATATCTAATTAAGTTACCTATCTGCAATAAGTCTGCCTTTATTATAACTCTGCCTGGCCTCCACCAATAGGCCTCCTGCCACAGTTGTGATGTGTTTTCATCCTCCACGCTGGCTCCCTGAGGGCCTGGCCCCATCTGACTGCCTGGAATATTCCCCCTAACTCAGCTGTCTGTAACACTAGGCAGAGCTGCGTTTGTCTCACTCCGGAGTATTCCCTGGGCAGAGTCAGCCTCCTGAACCCCAATAAAATGACTTCAGCTGTGCACAGAGTGCTTTGAGCTTGGAGCTTTGGTAGGGAGGTATTGGCTGCTGAGTCCCATCAGCCCCAAAACCTCTCTCGCCCTAGGCTGGGCAACCTGGGAGGCTGAGGCAGGAGGATGGCAAGGTGGAACACAGCCTGCGTCTCAGAATAAAAAAGTGAGAAAGGGGCTGGAGATGTATCTCAGTGTGAAGGGCCTGGGTTTACCCCCTGCTCACCCCCCTAAAGAACTCTCTTGCTCTAGGGGTGCACTCTTCTGGGCCTGTGATTTTTGTCTGCCTCAGTCTGACCCTTCTATCCCTGCTGTCCTGTGAACCCAGAAGAGGGGAGCTCGGGTTCTGCAGTACGGTACCGAGGGCTGGGGTTGCAGTGTCTTTGTCGTCAGGAAGCCAGGAGGGGGACAAGTTCTCCACAGAACCTGTGGGTTTCTGGAATGTTTGTGCCAGCTCACCTGTGACATTAGTGACCTCCCACACACACTGCATGCCTGCGTCCTCTCCAGGACATTGGGGTGATGCCCGTGTCGGGGCCACACAGGTCTGCTGTGTCCCAAGGCTGCCTTTTCCCTAGGTCCTGCCTGGCCCACTATGGCAGCCACCGGAGCTGAGGCAAAGGACCCAGAGAATCATCCCAGGTGAGGTGGGGCCTGTGGGCTGGGCCAGGCTGGTTCTGTGGCCATGGGGCAGATGGGTGGCTGAGGACCTTCAGTGGGGGGCAGGGCTCCGTACTTCACCCCAGGATGGCAGTCTCAGGAGACCAGGCAGCCCCGAGGGCAGCTCTGTCTGCTAGATTTCCCACTCCTTGTGGCTGTGGCCACTTGTTACACACACACACACACACTTCCCACTTATATTCTAGCTCTCTTGTTTCTTTTTGCTGTTTTTGTTTTAAGAGATAGGGTCTCGCTAGCAAGCCTTGGAACCTGGGGCAGTCCTCCTGTCTCAGGCTCCCACATGCTGGGACTATAGGTGTGCATCACCATGCCTGGCTTCTGTTTCATTTCTGAATTGTACAGATTTTCCTCTTGCCCGTGCAGTTCGTTGTAATTCTGCCTTTGAGCTTGGGGCCTTGAACGTGCTGCAGGAGGGTTTTACGAGCCCCACCCCCTGTCCTAATTCTAGTGTGTGCAGTGGATGGCTGCTCAGGTTTAGACATGGCTAGACAAGGGAGACTGGGGTCTCCAGTGTGAACACAAGTTCCACCCCTGACTGTGACCCAGCCTGCATATGAACTTTATTTTCTCTCTCTCTTTTTTTTTTGAGACCAGTTCTTGTTATGTAGTTCAGGCTGGGCTCAAACTCATGGAGATTCTCCTGCCTCGGCCTCCTGAGTGCTGGGATCATGAGCATGCATTGCCACACTGGCTTGTGTGTGTTCTTTCAGCCTGCTGACTTTCCTCATTTCCTCTTCACTTACTTCCGGCCAACTCTGCTGCGTCCCTTGGGTGGCCTCCTATCCTGCCTCCTTGGCCTCCCAAGTAGGTTTTCAAGGGACAGGGTGAAGCCAGATCAATTCTCTGCAGTTGTAGGCAAACTGGAGTAATATTTTCCAGGTGCCATTTTCACAGCTGCTTAGTTTAAAATCCCTTGCGCAGTGCATTGGTGGACATCGTTTGCTCTGTGCATCTTGAAGGTCTCTAGTTTGAAATCATTGCCGGTCTCACAGTTACACCATTTCCTTCTGCTGCTCGTGTGAAGAAATGTTTTCTGCTTGGAAATGTGTGGCCAGGCTGTGTTAATCACACCCTGCTATGTCCTTTTGAATCCCGCCTGGGCCCTGCTGTCCACACTGTTTCCATAGCAGCCCGAGGGCAGCTTTATCATAGGAAACACAGCTGTCACCCAGGAGACCCTAAGTGCCAGAGAGGTTTGTGCGGATCAGGATCTCAGAGCCTCTAGAGGTGGAAAAGCCTCCTGGGAAGTCGAGGGATGGCCCTAGCACACCGCGTCTGGGATTGGTCCAAGCGGGACAGTCGGTGACCCAGAGGGAAGAGTGGCCCCGGGTACGGCTCTGCTTGCCCGTCCTGAGCGCTGGCGTGGGTGTAGTTGGCACCGTCCCGGGTGTGGCTGGCACATCAGGATGGGGTGCTCACCCCTAGGCCCCTGACACCTGCTGGCTCACAGCCTCCCAGTCCCCCTCCTCCCCCTGAGAGGTCTGTCTGTCCCTGGTCCTGCCTTGGTCCTCTGACAGCTGAGCTGGATGGGGTGGCCAGGAGGGGAGTCTGGGAACTGCAAAGAGGAGAGTGAGCCCCAGGCACAGGGAGAACAGGGGTCTCAGCCTCCGCCAGAGAGAAACAGGGAATGGAAATGGCAACGGTGTAGTGCAGGATTCAGGGTTACAGAAGAGTCCCTGCTGGGGTTTTCCTTGCTGAGAGACGGTGGTCCTTATGCTAACCTAGAGACAAGGGGTGAGCAGCACCCCCTGGGGGAGGCAGGTGGATAAGACCCTCAGCTCTGTTGTGTCCCTTGCCCCTGTGGAAGCCGGGAAGGGAAAGCCCAGGTTCCGAGCGTGGTCCTGATGCATGGGTCCCTATTGAGGCTTTGTGAGGTCAGGGTAGTCCCCATCTGAGACACGTGCTCATGAGGCGGGTGGAGCAGGGAACGGGCCAGGGACACTGGGCAGAGAGCCTGCTCAGAAGGAGAAGGAGGAGGCCCCTGTGCCTCAGTTTCCCCTGGGGAAGCTCACATGTCGGAGTCAGAGCGGCTGTGTGGAAGGTGGGCTCTGAGGCACTTGCAGGCTCCTGTGGTCATCTACACGGGGTCACCTGAGTGTCCGACCCCGGCCTCACTTATATGCTGTCCAAGCTGCCATCTGGAGAGGACGGCAGGCAAGAGTGACAGGGATGCAGGGTCCCCCCATCAGCCTATTTGCCCCACCCCATACTGGGGACTGAACCCTCAGCCTTCACACTGAGCTCCATGCCCAGCCTTTTTCATTTTTTTGTTTTGCGATTGGGCCTCACTAAGTCACTGTTGCGCAGGCTGTGCTGCACCTTGTGATTGTGATCTGCCTGCCTCAGCCTTCAGAGTTCTGGGGTTACAGATGTGCGCCAGTACAACAGCTACCACCCAGTATAATAAGAAAAAGGTTGCCAACCTCTCTCCTAGATCAGTGCAGCGATGCACTCAGTTTGAAATGTAACATGAAGCCAGGCCTGGTGACACAGGCCTGCAATCCCAGAACTTGGGGAGGCAGAGGTAGGAGGATTACAAGTTCAAGCCAAGCTTAGTCAGTTTAGCACTTAGAGTCACCTTAACTCAAACTAAAAAAATATGAAAGGGCCAGGGACCGATCTCAGTGTGAAGGCCCTGAATTCATTCCCCAGTAAAACACACACACGCACACACACACACACACACACACGCACACACACACACACACGCACACGATCTAACATTGTACTTGCTGTCTTCTGCAGACGCAAGGTCCCTGGGGCAGAGAATGAGGAAGATGGAGACTGGAAGAGGGGGCCTAACCGGAAGTGGGGACCTGACAGGTAGGGTGTTCCGGTTCCCTCCACATCCCCCGCACCCACGTGTGGTGCATCTGTCACAGTGCTACCTGTTGGACCCCTGCGCTCTCTATACCTTTTGCATTTTTTTGTTTTCTAGCAGTGACCGCCTCGTCCAGCTTTCAAATCCCAATGTGGCCACCATGAAGGAGGACATTCTTTACCATTTCAGCCTCAGCACCAGCACCCATGACTTCCCCGCCATGTTTGGGGACGTGAAGGTAAACGGTGACTCTGAGTTCAGGGATCTGCCCCATGACCTGTCCCCTCCCCTGTGACACAGGCTTAGGGCAGGGGAGACACAACAGGTGACAGGTGCTTGGCTTGATGTGTTTCTCAAATCTATGCAGATTGTTGCTTTTCAAGTGTGTGAACTAGCCAGTAAGAAAGAAAACAACCCTGAATACACTGACAAATTTAGTGTGTACTTGAAGGAGTACATAAAATAAACTTCCTCAGCCAGGTATGATAGCCCAGCCTTGTAATCCCAGCTATGGTGGAGGCTGAGGCAGGAGGATGGCTTGAGCTCCAGTTGCTATGGGCCATAGAGCATGACCTTGTCTCAATAAATAAATAAAATAAAATAAACCAATGCTTCATGGAGAGAAGAGGGAAATATGAAACATTCTCCAGGCATGAGGGCATAAGAAATAGAAGAACTTGTATCATATCTGCGTGGTATATATTGCTTAATTGTTTGAAAGACTAATTTTGCTGGATGTAGCTTTAGTTCATTTTCCCTACAAAGACTTAAACTCCTCAGTGAGAATTAACCTAACACAGACTTGAAAAATACTTTAAATGTCTTTTTCACTGACCCGTAGTAACTGTGTGTTTGTAGGATGCAGTGTGATATTTTCATAGACGTATTCACTGGCTAGTGATCAGATCAGGTGTATTACACCTGTAACACAGACGTTTGTCATTTGAAATTTCTCTACTGTCTGTTTGAAATTTATAGCTACTTTGTGTCACATAGCTACTTGCTGCTACCACAGGGCCTTTCAAATGTCTACTCTCTGCTGGGGAATTCAAAATCAAAATAAACCAAGCCACGGAACCCCTGCTGGCACAGGTTATAGTTTAGCAAGAGCTGTGTCCCCTCTGCCACCGGTATCATTGTTCTGGGAATACTGGCTTCCAATTGTGGGGCAACTTCCTGTGCCTTCTAATTCCCTAAAATCCCACTCATCGTATTAAGCTATTAAGCTTAATTACACTATTAGATTAGTATAGTGAATTTTTAAATTCCAGGTTACAGAAATTTCTTTTCATGTTTAAAAAAAATAATTTATTTCTTTTACCTTCAGATTCATTTAAACTGGCTTATTTACTTATTTACTTTTTTTTTTGTACTGGGGATCAAACTCAGGACCTTGAGCTAGCTAGACAGGCTGTGGAGCCATTGAGCTAAATCCCTAGCCCACTTATTTACTTTTTTAGTTTTCACAAAACAAAACGTTTCTTACATGATGCTCTGTAAATTCAGGTTTCCCTTTCTCTGAGTGAGACCCCTGAGGCCGAGCCTTCTGCATCTCCACAGCACCGTGGTTCTTCCCGTGCAGTGTCCCCTGGGCCCCCAGGTGGCGGGGAAGAGCCCCCCCCCCCCCC